TTGCTTCCAGGTAAACGATGTGCAATTCTTCAACGCAATGAAGATATACTGCACATTATTACTTTACATGTAAATCCTGTATGAGGAAAAAAGTATTTTGGAAGTAAATATGCTGAAATATTTTGTACCATATGTTCGCATACTACCTGAAATAAAGCTTTAATATTATTATCATTATTATTGATTATATTGAACCGAAATGTTCAGTTGCTGTTGTCATATCGGCTCCTTCGAGGATGTGCCTGAGGATTACCATGGATTGTCACAGAAGAATCTCAACACACCAGCAGAGACAGATATGACCAATCAATAGGAAATACAAAACTGATATAATCAAGTAATAACTGACACTGTTTCACAAGAGATGGCTTTCACCACTCAAATTGTCGAGTGGATAACGCTTTGAAGTTGGAAACGATGGGTGCTAGGGTTTGAGTCACAGTGGGAACACACAATCACTCAGTGGAGTTTGCAGGAACATCCAGATGACGAGTCCTAAATAGGATAAAATGTCCATCCTGAGCTCCACTGAGTCACTATCATCCGCCGAATTATTATAGATATTTGTAATGGTTATTTACGCACAATAATAGGTTAGTTTTAATTTTGGTAATATTTCGAGCAAAATAACTACTCGTGATCACACAGCAGTTGCTGGAATTTTATTATTCACACATTTATAAATAACAATCATATACCTCCACCGTCTGAAAAAGCACATGCAACAAAGGTGACTCAATATAACTGCTAATATTATGAAACGAAATTCTGACTACAAAAACGACTAAATACACAAAATATAGAAGCTATTCATAAGCATGTGAATAAAAATATTCCGACGGTTATAAAAGTGATCACGGGCTGTAATTTTACTCGAAATATAATCAGGATTGAAAACTTTTTATTTTGTGTGTAAAACAACCATTACGCATACACGTAACTTTACTTTGAGGCGTGTAATTATTTTTTACAGTTAAATAATGATACATGTAGTCACTAGACAGAAAACGAAGCATGTATGAACTTTAGTGTGTTGCACTTTTTTTTCATAGACAAAAATTTTTTCAATAACAATTTTAGAGAAATTTTAGCCTAAAAGTCAGACTTCCCCAACCCCCCTCCCCGGCCCACGCGCCATTCCGCCTCTCCTTACAAAAATGAATTATTATTTTTAAGAGAACACGAAAGCCATAATTTGTAATATAGGGAACATAATGAATAATAATGAGATATTTCGTAGGTTACTTTGAGAGAAAAAATAGTAGACTTCGTCACAACATAGTAGGAAAAAATTTTTTCTACTCGACCAAAAATATATGCTGTTAATATAAGAAGGGAATAAAAAATAGAAACGTTTACGCAACTACACTTATTTTTTTGTTGTTGTTGAAAAGTTGATAAAACTGTCTAACTGTGATAATAAATAAAATGCACACAAAGTGGGAATTTAACGCCTACACCGCCGCTATCTATAAACTCTTGGAATGTGTTCAGCACAAAGAGATCAACAAAGGTTCATTCTTTAAAGAAACGATGAAAATAATAATAATATTCTGACTGACTTTAAATTCTGAAATCTTTTTTTTAATTTACAGATACACACATTACACCACAGAATCTAAATCTTCGACTTATTTAAAACATGATGATGCATGTTAAATGAGAATACAAAGTATGATAGTACTCTATATATTTGCGTTGGGGCTAAGTTGGAGCCTAAAGGGTATAAAAAAAGTTCATTTATGTCTTTCATTGAGGATAGATTACAAACTGTAACTTTTTCATGAACAAATGTTTACTTCATACAATTAGTTTCCTTTATAAATTTGAATAAAGCAAGAATGGCGGTTTGTTCACAATAAGATTGTACCATCATTTATTTCATCGGCTTCCTATCATCTGCATACAGCTAAAAGGAATTATCGAGTTAATGTACAGAAGACTTTCAACATGCTTGCAAATTTTATATGATGTCAGTTGACAGGAGGTTCTGAATTTAGTGAACAGTGCTCAGAAAATTACGCTTATATAGTTTTTGCACAGGAAGTTCAAGTTTAAACAAAGTAAATGTATGCATGTGCGTCGGTGGCCACGATTAGGACGCTGGCCGACTATGCACATGGTCCGGGGTTCAATCCTCGGCCACAGACGCACTCCTTTACCTCACTAAGCCAGTAATAAGACTGGTAAAGAGGGAAGGTTGGGCATGAGGCCAGCAACCCCATCCCGCAAAAAATAAACTCTGCTACAGAAACTTCAAGCCTCTAGCTTGAAGCCCTATGTTCCACTGGGAACGTGAAGGAATACAAAAAAATGTATGCATACAATGGTAAGAGTTACGTAATGAAGACAAGATGAGTGACCAATAAATTGGGTAACAATGTACTGAGTTCAACTCAAACCATAGAAACAAGGGACAAGCAAAGTTACACTATATCAAAAGGAAGGAGAGACCACAGTCAAAGATTACATAATCAAATGAAAGCGAGAATAAAGAGATCCATGCATTGAGTTTTGTTTAAACTTCAACTATCTGGGTATAAACTATATAAGTGTAACTTTCTGAACATTGTTTACTAAGTCTGGAGCCTCCTGTCAACTTACATCAAGTGAAATTTGCAAGTACTTTAGGCTGTACGCGGGCGACGAAATAAATGATGGTACTATCTTATTGTGCATAAACTGTTGTTCTTGCTTTACTTAGATGTTTACTTGTCAGGACGATAACATCAGCCTGATACAATAACAAGAATAATATTAACATAGAATTTAGCATAATTACGCAATCAATCAGTCAGGCTACCATACCTCATATTTGCATACCAAGTAAAGATTGTTATGAAAGATAGCATAGACCAATGCAGAACTTCATAGACTTGAAATTAAAATATAGGGTAAATACAGAAACTTGACGTCATGATCTTAATAAGAGCACCTGTACCACTGCAATCGATTCTAGCCTACATCAACTAGGTTTTCCAACTGCAGGTCTAATTTATCACGTTATATTAACTGCTATACTGTGCAGCTAACAATGATAAATAAGTTAACATTTATATATATATATATATATATATATATTACCAGCTGTAATTTCCCATAGCTAGTCATGCTTATCGTAGACACAAGGTAAGCAACAGGGCATAAAATCTACTGTAAGTGAATAACAAGACACCCTACTCTGAGAAATAACTTTCTGTATGCATCAACTATTTTAAAGAACAAAGACATCACAGTAACAGGGGAAATGTATTCACATAAATAATAACTCAGATAACATCACAACAACGTCAACCATTCCCCACAAGTGAGTAGTTATTGTCAGTAATCATTGATAGAGAATGACTCATAATTATGTATAATTCATTTATTTTACTATAACTTTACCTTTTCTACAACTTTAGCTACCATGGTTACTCATATATAAATAAATACTTAAATCTATATTGCTTGTTAGTCAGAAATTAGTTACACAGAGCACATTTTCCATGTACCAGGCAACGAGACGCACTTACTGTTTGAGGACTGATGGTACTTACACTATCCAGTTACCCAGGTTGAAGTAAATGGAGCGGGACTCAAACCCGGGATAAATAGGATGAAAACTTATTGAGCCACATCTCAACAAAACCATCCACTTAAAAAAGAGACCATATACATCAAGATTTGATTGCAGTACACAAGAACAGCAATTTTTCAGTGAAGTATTCATCACTGCACATAGTCATTGAAGTTAAACCCTATAATAACACCACAGGTGTTTCATAATTCATTACTAAACCAGTAGGATAATGATGAGGTAATATTTTTTTTATTCCTTCACGTTCCCCAGTGGAACATAGGACTTCAAGCTTGTGGCTTGAAGTTTCTGTAGCAGTGTTTATTTTACAGGATGGGGTTGCTAACTTCATGCCCAACCTTTCCTCTTCACCAGCATTATTTCTGGCTCAGCGAGGTAAAGGAGTGAGTCGGCCGGGGATTGAACCCCGAACCATGTGCATGGTCGGCGAGCGTCCTAACCGCTATGCCACCGACGCACTAAAAGGCCGTCCGATGTAGCGGACGATTCATGCCTCCGGAGAGTGGGCAACAGGTGCCCTATCCAACCTTGTGAAGGGGACTGCCAACCATCTCTCCTTCAATGAGGTAATATGAAAGACTGTAAAACTATTACACATATTACACAAACATTTATCTTATCTAACTGACGTATTTTAGACATCGTGTTATTATGCGTTGAATGTCTTTCCTACTCTGTGATACAAGAAAGTGTAATAACTTTAAGAGAAATGCCATCTTAATAGATTTTCATATTTCTTTAAGATAGTCCAGAGTCACCATGTCTACGGTAAACATAAACTGACTGAAATAATTGACAGAAGTATTAAACAGACTTTAATTGAATTTTAGATTTTCCCGTCGATTGATTGGACCGAAGTGCTCGGTCTCAGGTTGACATGTTGGCTTCTTGTGCAGATTCTTTGACGATGTCTGGGCATTTAATTTGTATTTAATTGGTGGATGGTGACTAGCAGTGGAATGCCAGAATGCGCATTTCGTCCTATTTGGGACTCGTCATCTGAACGTACCTGCATTTCTCAGTGAGTGATGATGTTCCCACAGAGGCTCCAACCCAGTACCTATAATCTAGTGGATAACGCTTTGGCGTTTGAAACTGGGCACTGGGTTCGAGCCTCGGTGGGAACATCATCACTCACTGAGAAATGCAGGTACATTCAGATGACGAGTCCCAAACAAGACGAAATGCGCATTCCGGATTCCACTGCTAGTCACCATCCACCAATTAAATATTAAACAGACTGATTTACTGATTTCAACTTTGTGGTACAAACAAGCAGAGATTTAAAAAAGTTCAAAGTTGTCGAAATATCACCAGTTCATCACCTAAATTTGATATTGATACAATGATAAACACAACCACAAGAGTTATATACAACAGTTATGATAGCAATAATTATAATAATAATAATAAAACTAACTTGAAAAAGCCACTTTTGTATCACTGTTAATCATTTCTTCTGTACCGACAGATGATAAACCTGGTGAAGAGCTTCCAGCTGTATCTGTCTGTGGAAAAGAGTGTCTTGTAACAGGTGAACTATTTGTACCTATTGACATTGAATTTTGTAGATTATTTTCATGTAACATAACCCATTCTTGTAATAAACTTTGATAATCAGAATTACTTCTACTGTTATGCTGTTGACTTGAGCTCATATTGGTAATTGATTCTAACTCCTAAAGAATAACAAGAAAAGTAGATGACGCTGAATTTATGCTCAAGTGTGAAAAATCAAACAAACAAACTCGATAGTGTTTAAATGTTCAGTTCAACAACGATCTCGAATTCCTCAGAAAAAGCCATGAACTATAATATGTCTGTGTGAAAGTTAGGAAGCTAGACGACAAAAAAATAGATTCACGATTCCTGTAAACAGCATTGACCATGAAAGTGAAATGAAATGAAGTTCGAAACGTGAACTTGAAAATCAAGCGTGCTTAATCTAATATAAGTAGCATCAATAAGTGAGAATATTACAAGGTGACTATCTCTTTGATAGGAAGATTTTTTATTGCCCCCCAAAAAATAGAAGCATCAATTAATTATTATTTCTATATTCAATCAAAAGCAAATGAAAAGAAAGCAACAGAATAAAACAAACCAAGAAACAAAGAGATTTAGTGAAAGCATAAATGCAAAAAAAGAGACAGAGATAGATACAAAAAAAGGAGAGGAAGCGAATAAATAATGCAAACAAAGACATGAAAGTGGAAAGTTATAACCTTCTTTCATATACGAAGCAACAACAACAACAACAAAAGGTAGTCATAGGAATCAACATAATAAGCTCTCGAGATTCTAGTCTACAATGAATAAGTAGAGATCAGTAAATGATTTTAATTGTATGCATATATATATATTAATGAGATAGGAGAGGAAAATCATAGTTGTATTATGATTATGCTTATTTTCAGGGAAGAAAAGTATGTATGCATTGTGCTAGGTATAATACATGGATTACATAATCTTACGAGTTTACTACACATGTGAATAGCTTTCATGATAAGTAAAGCGTAATAATCAAAAGTACTACACTATTAGGAAGAGTAAATTGTCAAAAATCATCTCTTAAAGGCTATAAAGTATTCCTTTGATTGGAATTTAATAATATGTACACATTAGGTGACCTGACACAAGATAACTACTACAACACATCAACGTTATCACTATTTATAACTGCTCAAAAAAGGTGGACTAGGGATTTGTAGTGGTTAACTGGAATCCATTTGCTGAAACACTCTCTGCTGACTAAATTCCTAGTAAGCAAAGTCCCTCCAGGAATACATCATTTATCAACCGAAAGATTGGGAAAGTATGGACCAGTATAAGAGGGATGTATACGTCACAGGGAACCATAACTTAATGACTTATGTATTCAGTTAACAGGCTTTAATTCACATCAGTTTATGTGGGAATCAAATGAACTATCCAAGCAAATATATATGTCCCATTCTAAGTATAAAAGGAAGTTGGTGAATGCAACGACAGAGGAGCAACTTACATTGATGACAGTAATAACGAACATCCTAACTGAATGTCAAAACCACACCTTACAAAAATACTTCACTTTGTATAATTTAGAAGTATGCCAAGTGTGGTATTTAAGGCCTTATATGACATTGAAAACTACTCGAAATTGTTATGATCACAGTGGAAGAAAAATATCAAATTAAATGCATACCTCATAAACTACATATTTTAAAGTAATAAGGTACAACTACCTAAGACCTAAATGTAGTGGTTTGACAACAAAACACCCTAGACAGCATTATTTAAATAAAGTACAGTTTATATTAGATGGTTGGAGGCAATCGGCAGGAAGTCTTGGACCTAGGTTTCGTTTAACCATCTAATATCAACAACTCAAAGTGCACAGTGATGCTGAGCGACCTAGAGTGGTGGCCACATTACAAACTTGACTGATATAATTCAGTGTGCACCAAACAAAGGACTAGACACACACTACACTAGTTACTAACTAGCCGATAAGAGAACCTCACACACTTAATGCATTGATACTACTTGTGCAAAACAACAGCCTTTCAACAAGTTGTAAGAAAACAAAGAACACAAAATGTTATCAAGAATCATAAAAACAACTGTTTGGTTATACGTGATAGTAAAACTAGACAAATTAAAATTTCTGTTAGCATTACCTGAATACGTTTAACTAACTGGCCGATAACTTTTGCAGCTAAACTTGTCTCTCGACGAACCTCAGGTATTTGTGCTAATTCTGACCGCAACAAACAAATAAATTCCACAGAATTCTTCAAAATATTACCTTTGTTCTTTTTACCATCACTATAAGAGAGACAGAAAAATATAAATAGCAAAAACAAAATTTAAGATTTTAATTCCATTTTTTTTAAAACAAAAAATATACAAACAACTAAGCAATATTATTTTAAAGGTATAACTCAAAAAAAGTAAGCGGTCAAATTTCAAACACAGGATGCGACTGTTTGGTCCACAAAAAAAAACCTTCAATTGAATACTGAAATACATTTATTCATATTGAAGTATGATATACCTTAAACTTCAGAGATAGAAGGTTATCTCTGGCACTTACAATCATATATCTAAAAATGTGGCAATAGCTTCAAAGACGTATACATCTCTTGAAAGGGAATCAAACAAGCAGCTCATTTCTCTTGCACAGTCTCCCATTGGATTGCAGAATACTTTTGAGGACAGTCAATAAAGACAAACAGTGACCTGTACGCTACAAAAACTAAGGATTCAAGATCTGAAAGTCAAGAATTTCAAAAAATGAGTCAAAGACCCACATATGATTGCGATAATTGAATTCCTTAGAATAACAATGAACGATCATTTTGTAGTGAGATGATAGCTAGAACAGCCAATTGAAAGGGATCTTAGAAAGACAGAGAATGGCAAAACTAATCCGTGAATGCATTCAGTTACAACAAGAGACAGTGAAGGATCATTACGACACTTCATCGATCAAAACGATAAAAATAGATGTAAATGCATTCGCTTGTAGTTTAGTTTTACATCTTCAACACAAAAATGCTTCCCATTCACCTATTTTGTTTTATGTATCTCATTTTATTTTATCACATTTGTAATTATTTCGAACAAATATACCGTTGAAAAGTGAAATAACTAGAACCAAAAACCTTCAGAAGGATTCAATATGGTTCACATGATTTTTAAAAAGAAATTAAAATCAGTTTCGCTAATCGCTGACGTAGTTGAAGTCACTAGGTTCTTAGAAAAAAACTTGACATGTATCATATTTCTTACGTTGAACACAATAAGAGTTATTAAAAGAAAATTTTCTCACCCATCTCTGAACATGTCTTCAGGTAACAAACTGCCAAGTTCAGCTATTTGACAGTTAATATAATCCCTTCGTTTACGTTCAACTGGGGAATAAAAAATTGAAAAGAAAACGATGACTATATGAACTAAACTCGAAACACTACAATTATATTCGTCAATCAGTATATTTTATAGACTCCACTGTATTGCTTATGATCTAATTATCAGACCAATGATATGAATTTAAATTCACTTTCCTTATTACTATCTATACGCGTACATAGTTTTATAGAGTTAAATAATATTAAATTCACAGATTTTGCAGAAAAGTAGAGCACAAATCCTAATTTTCAAGTTCCTATGAAAACGATCAACAAATACGACAAATGTAAAATAAACAAAACAACAACCAATAAGTGAATAAAGGTATGATTTCGCTTTCATCATTCCTTTAAGTTTCAGGTGGAACATACGGCTTCTAGTGTGAAATTTGACGTTTCAGTAGCAGAGATGTATTTATTACCAGGTAGAGTCACTAGCCTTACTTACGTCCAACCTTACCTCTTTACCAGGCTTCCTACCGGCTAAACCAGGTTTAGGAGTGTCTCGGCCGGGAACCGAACCCAGATCACGTGCATGGCTGGTGAGCATTTCCTACCAGTGAGCCATCGACGCACAGATTTGAAGAGAATGCAAAAGAAATGAAGAGTAGTCAAACAGAAATTTGCCGAATAATTCGCTCTTTAAAAAAATTAAATAAAATGCATCAACAAAAATATAAAAAGGTGGAGTCCATTATGATGAGACGGTAGCCGAAGTAAAAATGCCTCGAAGATTGTTAATGGAAATTTATAGTTGTACCAGTTATTTATACCTCCCTCCTATTGATTGTGGATTAATACATTAGTAGACGACATGTAGAAGTTCTAATGAAGGAAGTCTTAAACTTTCCATACATAACATACAAGACAAAAAAACCTACCAGCTCAAAGGAATGAAGATATTTTCAGTCGCATATACAACCATTCATCACTCTAGTTTTGGTTTGGTACACCATGATAACTACACACACTTGGTCTTACTCTGCCTACGAGCATCTAATTTATTTTGATATCTCATTCCCATTATAAGTTTTTTATAATTAGGCTATTTGGTGTGTAACAGCATTTGAGCATTAAAACTACCGCCTGTAAGTTACCAAACAAAAAAAAACATCCAAGGAGGTTGCACTTACTTCGGTTATGACTGTCCTTCTTTGTTCGATCTCTTATCCAAGCCACTCGTTGATCATCTACACTTCGATTTCCTGCAGATGATGACAGATTTCCTACACCCGACGGACCATGATTCATTGGAATACCAGCAGCTTCGGACGAATTATTCATACAGCCTGATGGGCTGCTACCGCTTTCACTAAGCACAGACTGTGGCGCTCTGGATCCAGATTGTACAGGACTTGTACTATCTAGCACATGTTGTAAATCCTCAGGTACAACAGCTGGACATGATGAGGAAACTTTCATACAAGCTTCATCTCGATTTGATTTAGTATTTTCTTTGCGAAAAATTGAATTTATATCCATGGGACTAATCTGTACAAGTGAATCTAACTTATTTGTTACTATTGGCATTGTCGTGGTTACTGATTGCTGTAGTCGTTCTGAAGAATCAGTGGTTTGATGTGAAAAATCAATAGTTGAATCAGACACGCCAACCTATAAAACACAAAAATATATGTAATGAAATACAATTTGGTCTATAAAATTTATTATAACATACTACTACTCAGAGAGATGTAACCAGCATTCGTTTCGGAACATTCTTACGAATATGTTCTATGCATAAACTAATAAAATTTCTCCATAGTGTTGTGATTCAATGATGAACAACTGAATGACACGGACATTTACAGAAATGGTTACTGGATTCGAATGATATTAAGGATAATCAGCTGACAACTGTCAAAATGGAAGAAAAATACATCCGAATTTATACTTTTTTTTTAACTAACCAACATGAGATCTTTTCACTTGACTAAGTATAAATGTGGGTGTGTACTTCACTTTTAATAGATAAAATGTCTTGAAAAGACATTACGCTCACACACATACACATGTCCAATATAAAGAAAGAAATACAAAACGATATTAGTGATAACGTTTGCATCTTACAGAGAGACAATTGAACGAGCAAGCTAAATACTTGGCAAGGTTATTACTTTTTTTATCTAGTACACAAAATATAATGGCCATAGATACGTGTACACAAACACACACACACACACACAAGCATACAACATCCTTACATAACTAAAAAAAATATTTTTTAAAATGTTATGAAAGAGCTAATCCCGTCGAAAAGTTTTTTTCTACATTTATGTAAAATACAACGAAGTTATGTATAGGTCATGTGTACAGTAAGTGGCTGCACAGTCTCTCTTATCTATGGCGCGATTAAAAGTTCTGTGTATATGACCCAGTTAAGTATCTTAACACCGATACACTAGACAAGATAAACAAATAAAATTAATCACTACTACTACTAATGATAATGATAATAATAATAATAATTCTTAATCTTATGGTTAAGTCGGCTTCCTTCTATTTTTTTCACTATGATTACTAACAGTAATTCTTCTTGCACTTTCAAACAATTCGAATGTACAGTCAGTCGTCTCCTGAATAAAAGTGGAAATTTACTGCTTCAATCACTTTCAATAGATTCTGCATGCTTTTTAGATAACAAAAGGATATCGGATTATAATAATGCTGAGCAAAAATACCAAAAATAATCAAAAGTAACACTTTAACTGATTAAAAATGCCCATTAAAATTTTCAAAAGAATGGACACGGAACAAAGAGTACTCTTTTCGATAAATTCATCATCGCGTTCTACAATTATATATACATTATAATGAATGAATGAATTAGTCTTATGAACGACATTAATGTTTAAATAACATCAAATCAATAATATTGATAGATTACAGCTGAACAGCATCAACATAAAATAAACTGAATGTCAGAAAAATTAGGAAAGATAGTATTACAAATTCATGAGTTTATAGTTTCTACTGAGGACCAGGGCAGTAGTAGGGGCTGGACTTGTTTCTTTTCAACACAGAGCACTGGTTGTTTGAGGCGAATTGCAATAGCCTCTGCTGTTTGGAGCATGTGGTGCTTCGACGATTTTGGTAGTTTGTTAGGCACCCGGTGTATTATAAAGAGGGATTCTTCTACGCTGGCTTTGTGACCGGTTTGCGCCAGATGGTCTAATATCGAGCTGTTAATAGTTTTAAGTACACCTTTACTTAGCCATAGTGGGATATGTTCTCGAGCACTTCTTATCAGCGACACTGAAGACTTATTTAAAACGCTGCGTAGTCATAATGATACTGTGGGATAAAAACTTGAGCAGAGAACACATGTGTATATGACTGATATGCTTCAGTATAACTCAAAGCAACGCCTATCTAGTCTTTCACATTACAGATTGGAATATATGACTTTTTTTCTTTCATACTTCTTCACTTTGCACTGCTTTTTTAAAACAACTTTTAATTTTTAGTTTGACACAAATCCCATCCGATATTGGCTGACTGGTTTCAACACAGAACTTTGCACAGGAGTGCAGCAGTTCAAGTTGCCACATTCGATGTAGCACACAAAGGGAGAACAAAATGAGAGAGAGAGAAAAAGATATTCAAAGAAAAATATAACAGCAGAAGTATGAGGGATAAAGAATAGTAATATGGAAAAACAATAAGGTTTAATGGCGTATGGCAGATCACAAAGAGTGAATGCATCTGGGACAATGAGAATGATTTCCAGTCATATCACCAATTTTTTAGTTCATGAAAAATCCCCATTCGAACATTAATAGAGAGAAGACCAGTAGTTCAGTAAAAAGTCTCTATTCGGGGAATTCATTTTCACGGCTGTACAATCGCAAATCTATATATCTGGTTATTTTGCATGTGTGTGTACATTAACTTTGTCAAACGAAAATTCAATTAGTAAGTTTTGGTGGAGTTATGTAATACAAAAATTATTCAGAGGAATTGGATGTTGATATAAAAGGATAGTAACAAAAGTGATGAGTTGTCATAAACGATTGTTAAGAACAGTCACGTGATAACATGAATAGTTTGATGAAAGAGTTGTGCTCAGGGTGAACATGGAAACGAAATGAAATACGGAATTACGTAAGATCAACAACTCTGTTGATCTGACTTAACTTTTTTTCTAACTACTTAAAACTCTTACGTAATTCCGTATTTCATTTCGTTTCCATGTTCACCCTGAGCACAACTCTTTCATCAAACTATTCATGTTATCACGTGACTGTTCTTAACAATCGTTTATGACAACTCATCACTTTTGTTACTATTCTTTTATATCAACATCCAATTCCTCTGAATAATTTTTGTATTACGTAACTCCATCAAAACTTACTAATTGAATTTTCGTTTGACAAAGTTAATGTACACACACATACAAACTAACCAGATATATTTGTGATTGTACAGCTGTGAACTATTGGTCTTCTCTCTATTAATATCACCAATTGTCTCCAGCCACTGGTTCCTAGAATCCCGAGGACCCTAACCAGGCAGTCTACACCTCCTTATGCGGTTTTAAATAATTGTCAAAGACTTTATGGACTGTTTCCAAGTTTTGGTTTGACCACATTTGCGCTTTGCCAACCTGATCTTTTGTCAGCTAAGCGAACACGTTCGACATTATTTGTGTATGTATGCAAATCAAAAATGTACATACTTCGCATCAAATACAAATTGTATAATACGAGGAAAATAGATACCAAGATTAAATTTTGAAAGTGAGAAGTTAAAGGAAAGATATCAACTTCCAAAAAATTAGTATCTAAGATATTGCATTTTTAATTAACAATGTGAAAGGTGACTAGGCTTCAGTCCTTTTCTCTTTTTTCTTTGACTCTTACCCCTACTTAGAAACACCCACTGTCCAATTCATTCTGGTGTGTAACAGAATTTAACCCCATGAATATATGGTGGACGAAAATAACTGCTACTGATACTGGTAAAGCATAATATGGAAAGATAGAAGGATGAATGAATAAATTTCTAAAAGGAAATGTGTGAGGTGGACTTGAAACCTGTGACCCACTTAGCTGGAAATTTAAAATTTAATGCAATTGACTACTAAAGTAAATAGACTGGATCACTAGTGTACTTGAAAAGCGAATAAGACTAAGGCAAAGACATCAGGAAACAGTACAGCAAAGGTGATACGAAAATCAAAAAATATGCATATAATCTTAAACATTCAGTTGCCTTGAATAGAATTAAAAATGCCAAACACCGAGGAAGAAGAATAAAACGAATAATAATGTGCGATAAGTCCATTAGTATTGTGCGCGGTCATAGCGTTAGGACGTCCGACCACATGTCGGGTCGATCCGGCAAGCACTGTACCTCGCTAAGCAGAAATAATGCTGTGAAGAGAAAGGACCAAAACTGCTACAGAAACTTCAAGCCAAAGCTTGAAGCCCTATGTTCCACTGGGGAACGTGAAGGGAAAAAAAGTCCATTAGTAACTCAAATAACGATTCTCACAACCGCAACTAATTTCTACTTGTAAGTTTTAGAGGAAAGAGACTTATGGAGAATAATGAAGAAAGTGAGTTTTTCGGGGGAAAAGTAAGTGCTCATCACGTGCTTTAGAAATCTAAATTCAAATAAGCACGGGCAATCAACTTCGTACTTAGTGAAATAAAAACCTAATGATGTTTATATTTAAAATAAAAGCGAAGACTTTCAGTTATTAGGAATGATAAATATGATTGCAGGACAATCTCAGATAGCCTTGAGATGGCGGACTAATACTGAGTTAATGGATGGTGATTGAATATGACGCCAAAATCTGCTTCGCAGAAAGACCCGAACCAGTAGTCTCCGAATCACTTCTCCGGTGCTCTACCAACTGAGCTACAGGACTGAACCAACATCAACTGGCAACCTGTTTCTTTTATTCGAATTCTGTTTGGTTAGGATTGACAACAGAAGATCTAGCTGGAAAACTAGTGTGGTTATAAACAGACAGTAACGTATTATCCACATGACAACTGGGCATTACCCGTGATGATCGCGGTGAAATGATGACCTGGTTATCAGTTGTGTCTCGTAGGTCAGCTGGTAGAGCACCGGAGTAGTAATTCGAAGGCCGCCACCAATCATCACCCATTACATAAATGACAAATATGTTTAATACAGAATTAAAATACTTTAACTTCTGACTTTTGTGTAATTCTTTAGATTAACCTAGCGATGAACGATGTTTTCAATCATCCACACACACGCACATATACAGGTAACAAGTATTAGCAATCTTTTCTAATGCACTACATCACCCTAAGATTACATATGACAGCTTCAGTAGCTGAACAACATTAATTACCAATATTGGACAATAAATATTTGGAAGTATTCCAATTAGTGGAGATTTGGTTTATTGCCTTAGGCATTCAACTTCCGGTCAATATGTTCAAATTCCACTTCACCTACTTCAGCCTGAACGACTGAGCAGTACCATAGGCCCTCGTACATTGACAGTGGCTTAAAGCCTGATAACTGAGTTCTAACCAACCAGGAGGAAATCATTTCTTTGATAGTAGGACAAGGATGACGTTTTTTTATCCTGTTAGTTTGAAATATTTCTTATTAAATACCTTAAGTCAGAACACTTGTAAGTAATAACAGTAATGGATATAAAAAGTATTCAGTCACTTTTGTTTATCTCTGTAATGCTTAACATCATGATTCTCCACTTTTGACGATTCGGGATATCTTGTGACTACTATTTAATATCATGGGTGAGTACCTATTGATTCAACCGATTTGCACCCACCCGTCCAGTTTCTTTTCCTTCACGTTCCAAATGGAACAGATCGTTTATTGAGAAAATCAAGAGATATTTATAAATTTTTATGTACATTATTGTCAGCGGAGAAGCAACGTCTTCTGATTGGTTGTTTTCTTGCTGAAGGTTATTCTAGCTTCAAGCTAGAAGGCTTGAAGTTTCTGTAGTAGTGTTTGTTTTTACAGGATGGGGTTGCTAGCCTCATGCCTAACCAGCTTTTTATTACTGGCTTAGCGAGGTAAAGGAGTGCGTCGGCCGGGGATCGAACCCCGGACCATGTGCATGGTCGGCGAGCGTGCTAACCGCTATGCCACCGACGCACTACCCGTCCAGTTGCAACATCTTATTAAACTTTAGGAAATCCACCTCAAAGCAAATCACTGATAAGCAACTAATTGATCTTCGATTGGTGGGTTTGCTCAAATTCACCTGATTTTCAATTCAATAGATCTCCAAATGATATTATTTTGTCGCAATATTTACCGTGATAACCAGTTATTATTACCATTATTTTGTTCCTTTTCGTTCCCAGTGGAAAATAGGGCTTCAGGCTAGAGCTTCGAAGTTTCAGTAGCAGCGGTGTTTTTCACGGGATGGGGTTGCTAGCCTCACACTTAACCTTCTCTCTTTACCGGACTTACTAGTGGCTAAGCGAAGTGAAGATATGCGCTAGCCGAGGATCGAAACCGGGACCATTTGCGTGGTTGACCAGTGTTTTACCTCTGAGCCACTGACACTGTAATAACTAGTATTTCTTTGAAACTCGAAGGTTTTTATAAGCAAGCAGACTGAACCTTCATAGTACGTAAGTATTTCTTTCTCCTCATAAACTTTTTTTTATAAACAGTTGAAAGGAAGGTAATTTCCTGATTATTTTGAGTCAATTCAGTAAGTGTACATAGTGATTGTGCTAAAATTAGTTGGAATATGCTGTTATACATGTCAAACTACCGTCTGCTCTATATTTCTATATTAGCTGAAGTAGGTTTAAGTATGAAGAAAATTTACGTCGGTTAAAGGTGAAAAATGATACTTATTCATAAAATCACTGACTGTTGATCTAAACTGCGTAAAGCCGTACATGTACTTCATATTTGAGTTTTAAAATGGTTGGAAAATCTCCAAGTGATAGAAGTGGTGGAGATAAATTGAGTCCTTATCATCAATAGTATGTAAAGTTGAATAATTAACTATGAACAGATCATATATATATATATTCGATTATTTCAATATATGCAGCATATGCCTGTTGATTGTTTGTTTCAGTGTCATTGCAGAATCGGAGTAATTTAGATCATTGTACTTTTTGTTAGAGCTATTACACGTCTCTTTGTTTGCTCACTTTTTGGACCTTTACCACAAGAAGTTTATACTATTTGAAGAATCATTCTACGATGACTATCCTCAATATCGAGAATTCAATTCCTCATTCTTTTAAGAACCAAAGTCTACAATCATGCATACTGTATCGATATTATTTGAATTACTTTTCGTCTTTTAACCTTTAAGTGAATGATACACTTCACTGATCAAACACTTTAAAATGACAATAAACTGACATCAAAGACTATTTAACCAAGACAAATGTTCAACCAGCGATAGATTCCACCTTCACGAGTCTTATAAAAAAGCTCTGTAATGTTACTGCCGAGAACTGAGGCACTGTGGTAGAATGTAATTCTATATAAGTTTATTTTAAATATCACATAGTGATGCAGTATTAACAACTGGATGATGACGTTTCGAGCATAAATTATTGCTCATAATCGTATCAATTTAGTCACACAGCTTCACAATCTGTCTTATGTATGTAAGGCATGTTTTGTTACTACTGCGTCACTGTGTGGTATTTAAAACAAACTTATCTAATATGGAAAAAAAGCTCTGTGTTTATATGTATGTAAGTCCGAATTACACTTAAATAATTGCTAATGTAAACAATAACAACGACAAAATAATTAAACTTACAGATGATGAGAGATTGATGGATGGTGTAATATTATTTAAATCAAAGCTATCACTACCTTGATCTTCCATGATATTTGCAAAACATGATTCAACCGGCTGAAACATAAGACAATTAAAGAAGTATTTATTGATTATTTAAAACAACAAACTAGGTACAGAATATAATCACCAAGATATGCACTGCGGAAACGAATACAATAAATTTGATGTAGTTGTTTTCTCTGAGCTGGATGATTTATTTGGGAAGCTTTGATTGCCCTACTAGACACCATCTTCAGCGCATACTTCAATTTGAAGTAAGCTTTTAGGTTTCTCCACGAGTTTATAAGTCATCTCTCCTGGTCGCCGGGAGTATGCGCTGAAGATGTTGCCTAGTAGGGCAATGAAAGCTTCCCAAATAAACCATCCAGTTCAGAGAACACAACTACATCAAAATCATCCACCTGAGCTACAAATCTTCTCCATTATATCTAAATAATACAATAAATATATAAAGAAAATAGAAATCAAATACGAATAAGGAAAGAACGAAAATATTTGCAGGATAATTAATACCAGCTCGTTTTATTTCGTGGATTCTTTTCAACTACTTACATCCTAAACATCAAAATATAAGTTACGAAATTTTTTAACATATTTTTTTCAAAAGTGACATCGAGTTTCACATAGAAAGTATAAGCAACATAATTCCAAAATTGATGTAAGCAGATAAATCATTCAGTGTTAAAAGACCAACTATTTATAGTACAATTAGACAAGATAGGGGGAAGGGTTGAGTTCATATTTAGCTTGGAAACAAGGATTGACTAGAGACAAAATACAAGATTAAACAACATAGTGAATTTATACACATTATGATGGAGAGTTCAAGAGGTTGGGAGTAAATAGCGAAGTAAAATTACGATATAAACACAGAATGAAGTAAATTTGGAAACTCAATAGTGAGTTCAGCTCAGTAAGTGAAAATCAAAATTAAGTGAAATGTTGCGCAACGGAACAAAATACAAAAGCATAAGAGTAAACAATTACAGACACCAGGGTAGTGAGAGATTAATCACGCTATCTTTCCGTATACAAAGATTGAGTCGGAGTCTTTTGATGGCGATGGCTTCTGCTAACCGTAGTAACTATGGTTAATTCATTAATTATTTTGAAAGCCTGGCTAATTTCCACTGTGTCCCCAGTCAATAAGGTGTCTGACAATCGCACTTGGGAACAATTTATTGCCTTTCATATGGAGATTTAGGGATATGCTCAGAAAATTTAGTAAGCGCTCTCCGCTGAGTCCTTCATATATACGTTAATTTTTGGAATTATATGTGAAACTCGATGTCACTTTTGAAAAAAATATGTTAAAAAATTTTGTAACTTATATTTTGATGTTTAGGATGTAAGTAGTTGAAAAGAATCCACGAAATAAAACGAGCTGGTATTAATTATCCTGCAAATATGTTCGTTCTTTGTATTGTTAAAGCTAATAAAGACAGTCGGTTGTAGGAAAGATATAAAATAGTTGAGGAACAAGAAAATGAAAACAGGTGAGCGTGTTCATCTTCAGCGCCTGTAATAATTGTATCAGTGATCATTTCACGGTTAATAAGTGTAGCTAAGGTATCAAAAATTGACATACATTTGATTACTGATGGCATACTTAATAATTCCCATGTAACCTCAAAAGCCAAGCTAGTAATTGTATTAACCATTTGTTGCAATGTATGAACATGCTTTCGTATAACATTAGCAATTAAAATCAGTTGCTTGTCATAGAAAATCGTCAGCTTCAACATTCGATAACGTAGATTTAAATCTCGAAGAGAATAAAAGTTGCCTCACAGTTGACATATTTTGCTGATGACTTCTATTGAATACGTAAGTCTGTTTTGTTAACTCAGATGAGACCAACACAACCACATGAAATGGTGGTATGTTACTCAACAAACATGCTTTTAGTAATAGTCACAAATATTTAGTGAGGAGTACTGATATCACTCGGTCGTCTAATCCTCATTATGTGGAACAGGACTACCACTTGTGATATACTAGTTGAAAGCTGAATGTTCAATCCAATGCTCTGCATGCGGATCTGTACATGATGCTCCTTGTTGGTATAAACTAAGTAGACGATGCATGGTTTGAACCTGAGAATTTTGAATGTCCAAAACGTATATGCTAATACTCCACATTCCTTCAACTGTTTGTATTAAACCAGACTATTGTAATATTGTTTAATAACATGAAAAATAAAGATATCTAAAAGGATTTTAGCAACAAGGCATTACTCAGTATCATGAATGACTACTTAGAATACGTCAAAGCAAGAAGAACAAGATTTACAGCATAAAATGTGCACATTTATTTCAAGACTTCTCTCCATCTGCAGACAGACTAAAATACACACAGGATTATAATAAGTAATATGGACATACACCTTTTCAGCATACTGAGCAGAAGTTAGGCATGAAGATGACAGTTTAAGCAAACATTAATGAATAAAATGTGGTGACGTAATCATTCCAACTGACAAAGAAAAAGACCTAATTATTTATTTGAACAGAGAACAAACAAAAAATGTTTGTTTTGTCTTTGTTCAAATTTATAAAGGGGAATTTGTGTATCGAATTATTTATCATAAGTTTGGAAGGAGGTTCGAGAAGTTTTGGTATATGCGCCTTGATAACAAAACACTAAGTAAACAGCGACATGCATAAAAAAGATTGCGCAATTATGTAGGAGTAACCATTTAGCAGTAGTGATTAGAAATTAGTTAAGTGGGTTGAAGAACGATCGTGATAATGACGATAATAGTAGTAGAAAAAATCCACCGATCTTGACTCAACTGATTTCTAATTACTTCTAACATGGTTACTTGTACATGATTACGTCGTCATTTTCCATGTGTCTTGCTGATTAATTAGTGTTTTGTCAATGAGCCATTTACCAAAACTTCCCAAATCTCCTAAACTTAAATAACTAGTTTCTTTTCATAAAAAATGTAATGTTTATGTCGTCAACACTGCACTCATTGTTGTTTCCTTATAAACTACGATCTTCATGCCTAGCTTATGTTCATTAGAATTTCTTTTTAATGTGTTTTTATTTCATCAATCCTGTGCTTTAGGCTGTTTGCAGCTGAAAAGTGTGCGTTTTTAGCTGCGAAATTTTGTTTTCCTGGCTTTGATGAAGATGATTAAGGGGAAACACATTGTATGATCCCCTGGTGGGATGAGAATGAGTGAGGTATCCACGATAATATGAGTCCATTTCTTCAAATCCTGAGTGGTATAAATTAAAAGTGAACATACTGATAATTTTGATAATTTTACTTGTGAAATTCAGCATCATTTTTATTTCCCTACTCACTAATATACCATAAATTACCCTTTTCTGTTTGTAATTCATCGTTCAATTTCTTTTTCTCCTACTGATCACGTATTCGGTAAGGTAAACACCAGTGGAATATATGGTGTTTTCTTCTGTGCTAAATCAATCATTTAGTCGACTAATACTACAATTATATACAATACACTGAGTAGTGAATTGAAATTATTGAAGAAAATAACTTGCGATTGCAAAATCCAACTAAATCTATAGAAGAAAAGAAGGTAAGTCTAAGGGGAAAAAAATACTCATTATAAAATGCAATCAACGTACAGAATTCATATCAGATGGGGTAGGTGAATCATTGGATCCCATTTCTAACACACTCAATTCTGAATTAGACTTGATCTGTGTATTCGGAGATGTGCCATCAAAACTGCTGTGTTTTGAATGAAGATGAGATTGTGCATGACGTTGAGCTGGACTATGTTCTGTAAAATGCATAGGTAATGTTTGATTAACTGCCTTGTTTGTAGCATTAATACCACTATTACTGGTGATGGTAGTAGTAGTAGTAGTAGTATTCGAAGTATTAGCAGCAGTCATTAAGTGTATTGAATTTCGACTATCCGCAAAGTGTTGGTTCGTAGTAGCACAAACGCCAGCGGTCGATGTAATCAAAGACGATTTACAATTATCAAGGGATGAATTCTGTTGTTGGTTACTTTTGTCCTGTAGTACATTGGACACCATGGATTGTGAATCTTCATGTGGTAGGAAAAACCTTGTCTAAAAATAAAAGAATAGAAAGATTAACCTGATAAGCTACTTAAAAAAAACTATTTTTTATTACAGCTTGATTCCACACCCTATTTTCGTTACAAGTATGAAATTTTCAGCATGCGATATCGGTAGCCCAAATTTTGCAGACCAACTATTGATATCAGGTTTGCGTCGGCAGGGGGTCGAACCCCGGACCATGTGCATGGTCGGCGAGGGTCCTAACCACTGTGCCACCGACGGAAGTAAATTGCAAATCAGTGAAGAAAAATGTCTTTATCGACGAAATCAAATTCAAAGTCTGTACAATCGTATTTATATTTACCAAACAAGTATATTAGTCTGTTACTAAGTATAACAGAGGGGTGACAACTAATAGAATTACTCAGAAGTGGTTTCTAAAATAATAATACTAATAATAAAAGAGGTACTGTGAAAGTTGGCCGGCACAAGTGAGCTTTACCTTCACCAGATGATAGATGCGATAATGTTATTTAATCACAGATGCACATCAAATCTCGTTGATTACTTTATTCAATATTAAAGCTAGTTTTTAGAATGTACAAGTGAACTGAATAATCATTCAACTAAGTGGATAAATAAATACACACTTGAGATGAATAATTACAGCCGTATGTAGTGACTTTTTCTAAAGATCAGAACTGTCTCTTTACGAAAATTTTGTAAAGGAGTACAAACACATTTTGGTTAGTAAAATGAATCACTAACTTAAATCAACGAAACTGTTCATGGTGTGTATTTTAAATTTCCTAATGAATTATCTTGACCAAATTTAGTATATACATAAAAAACGCTAGGCTAACTGCTTTATGAAATAACGATCTATCAATCAGAACATCGGACGAAAGTCAGTGTTGTTTTCTATTTTGCTTTAAAAATCCCAGCAAAATCATTGTATAATTTCTTTCCTTCTCATAAGTATCTCCACAGGGAAAATAATACATGGAAAGAAACAAAAATAAACTTAGTCTTATATGAGCTCCAAAGAAGTTTAATTGCAATGAAATCGTTAAGAAGCGGCTTCATTCAGAAGATATTTGAAAACATGTATAATTCGATTGAAACTAATGGATATGAGAGAAGAGGACTGAAGACAATCTATATCCTTTATCAGAGGGAAACTGACGATTACACTTATTTGTCTACCCTTTTACAAAGTTAAATATGGGGAAAATGAACTATCGTAAATGAAACCATTTGTGAAAATCATTACAATGAGAATTTTATCAAAAGTACATAGTAATTCAAGTGCAGTGAGATGAAACTATAAATATGGAAGCAAAACCGCTGATTAAGAAACCATGAAACTCATGAAGTTAGTTAATCCTAAGTTCAAATGCTTCTAAAGTGCACTTGTTTGTTATATACTTCATAGCAGAAGTAGTTTTAATATCACTTCAGTTTAACGACTAGCGAATGAACTTAAACCTACTGAATAATGATTTGGGTAAAATTGGTTTATTCTATACACAACCATGCAAATGAAAACCCATGTGGTGCTACTTAGTGATTGACTGTGGAATAAATGTCCTGTATTTTTAGGGAAACAATTATCGGAGCCCAGACCGATCATGAAGATACTTGCTTACTAGTGACATCGGATAACAGTCACAATATTGCAAAAGGCCAGAAGTTGGAAAGAGCATTACATTCAGGAATTAGAGGCTAGCTTACACCATTACCGCATAGAAAATTAATGGTCTCTGGGGGATTCATGAGTTCGCAGGTGGTGCCAAAGAGAGAAAAAGATGTACAATGCTCCTTGGTTTTTAATGGTTCTCTAGGTTATGATCAATAATACCAATTACACTGAAAATTTATCCAATATTTAACCCTTTTATGAAGTGGTTTGAAGAAATTAAGTTTACGAAATAAACACTTTTGTGCCTAAAGTAGGTTTAGATTATTATTTTTTACACCAAACTAATAAATATCATGAAAATTCCGGACATCGTGAAGTTATCTTTCTAAAACAATTGATAGAGAAATGTGGAATAAAATATCAACAATAACACCAAAATAAATATTAGAGTAAAATGAAAGTGAAATGACATCTTTATCAGTTGCTTACTGGATGAGTTGCTGTATTTTGATATTGCTGACCACTTGCATTTAAAGAAGCAAGAAGGGCACTAGCTCCGAATCCTCGATTGTACTGACTACTTAACTTTGAAGTGTCATCTATATGTTGCGTTGGAGCTTGCGATCCAGAGAGGAGAATATTAAGAGATGGATGTGACGTTGTTGTTGGACTACTTATAATCAACTTGGATCCTTTTGAACGACATTCACTTGATGTTCTAGGTCCTAACTGATCTTGTGCAATGCGTTCTTCATTTAGCGTTTGTTGACGCATACGTTGTTGTCGAGCAGATGTACGAGACAACATACTTTAAAAATTGTCACTTGCCAGAACATAAGCAAAAATCTGGTCAATATATAGCAGAGATGGATGAGGACTTGCTTCCCCTCTCAAGCGCTATCGTGTAAAACGGATGATATATTGCTGATAGACTTCCTTTCGATAATCTAACAAGAAATAAGCGAAGTCATTGGCAAAATAAGACAGAGTTTATGTCATGATTTTGACATTACTAGAGATCGCAACATGTGTGAAAATAAGACACTACTACCCACCCAATCTACCCTAACTTAATAACAATAGGACTGAGTTATTTGTTTTTAATTATCACATATACTTATTCATATCTTTTTTTTCAGATATACTTAACCATTCAAAAAAGTTAGAAACATTTTGGGAATAGCTTACCTGAACAACAGCCACCTACAAATAGTTCAGTTTGCCTAATTACATATTAAATACATAAAAAGAACATCTAGCCATTTTATCTCAGATAACCACACTAGGATTATAAGGCCTGTGTGAAGAGTATATAACAGAAGCCTCCTCCTACGAGGAATTTCAAAAGGAGAGAAACCACAAATTTCTCAGATCTTAGGAATTAGTGACTATTTTGAAATCGACTATAATGATCCATATGCGTCAAATACAAAATACATCCATCCTGTTGGTTTCTAAGTCTTAATTACAATTTCTTCAGAGTTCAAATATTATCAGCCTTCTTCTTTTCGGTGAATTATCAACGAAAATGTGAACTGATATGCCGTTTACCACGGTTGACAGTGACGTATTTATTCGTTAGGTTTTTAAAATAGCATTTCTAATATAATTCAGCACACTTTTTGTTTTAAAATGTTATTACCCACTGATTGACGCAGAATTACTTTCATCAAATAAAAGCAAACAAAAACCAGTCACAAAAGCGTAAAGAAAAAGCGGATTATATAGTTAGGAATAAAGAATAAGCTTACACCACAGAAATCGCACAATGTTTAGTTCCGGATATACAAGGAAATCAAGCGCAAAATGAAACTAGTTTTTTAAATGCTGTATGTGTATAAAAGCTTTTCAAAGGAAACAGTACAAGTGATGCGGATGATTTAAAATATGAACTAGGAACGCGGAGAATGTCCAAAATGTCTGGCAATGAAAAGGCGATATTAACCACGCTAACAAGTAGTATGGATCAACACTACGTTGGTAGACTTTAGAATCGTGAAGTTTTCATCCACTGCTTAGGAAAACCAACTGTCAATCATTTCGTAACAGATTCAAATTCCACTTCATCTGTCATAATTCGGGACTAGTTTCGAACTATCGAATTTGAGTAGGCTTTTGCTCCGCATTTTCAAATAAAACAAAATATCCACAACTTTCTAGGTGATGAAAGCCTACATTGTGGCAATCGAAACAGTGTTATCACAGTAATGTGCGCCAGTTTTCAGCAAATCGTGTAGGGATTTGAAGACAAACTTTCCCGAGAATAAAAGATGGTATGAAACTAGATCAAAATTCAGACCCTACGTTGGATAAATAAGCAGTCTTCCAAATTCTAAGCCCTTCAAACGCGATAACAGTGGAAAACCACAGTGGAAATATTTCACTGGTCAAATTTGAGTCATCAAAGTGATTCTAGACGATAGTTTCAAAGGTTTGTAAACCGTTGAACAAATAGCGTACACTTCCTCAATTAGTGCTGAATCCTAGATTGAATCTCCCTAATCCTAATCTTAAGCCGGTTATTATGGAGTTGATGAGTAAAACGGTGCAACTATTTTAAAGCGATACACTGACAATCTTGATTTACTTTAAAAACCATTCACAGTGACGTACTCTTTGGGTCTTTAAGCACTTTCTTTGACCTTTATTTAATTATTCACCTTATCAAATATGATCAGTCTAGTACTAATTTCGTACCCACTATTTTACATGCTGTTTCGAAGTGTTACTTAATTTCCGTAGATGGGGTCAGGTTGAAGAAATTCAGACCAGTCAATATATAATTCTGAATACACAAAAATGAATGAACAAAAAAATGAACTATATATATGAGTACAAATCATGTGTGAATTAAAAACAAAATTCCAGCAGTCGATGTGAGCACGGGCAGTAATTTTGCTTGAAATATTACCAATAACAAAAACTTGTCATTGTGTGTAAACCATTGAAATATAATTATACTTCATTTGATCTATTCCACAATGCTCAAACTTTTTACTGACATTAAACCAGTTAATCCACCCTTGAGAAGTTACAAACAAGTAAGGTGAAATGCAAGTTGTAATGACTAACCGCCAAAATGACTACGTTATCACTCAATAGACGTTTGATTTTCACACCTCTTTCACGACCAAATACTGCAACAAGACCGGCTGGTCAACAAAATCAAACGACATATTCAGGTCCACAGACACATTATATTTGCAAAAAATGAAGAATGCACTAGAGTGGTCAGGAATCCAGCTGACTCATAGTATTCAGTTACATACATTTAGATACAGAAGTAGTACAGCAGTCATCCAAGCTGCTACACATCACTTGCTCTTTTTCCACAAATCCGATCTCTCTATTTTGCTTTTAACGCTTCAGCATCAGTCACTCATCGATTCATACATACAGTATGAATGCTATGATCAATTGGGAAGTCAAAGATTAGCTAAATTTGTGACTAGTAGTCCGCAGTGTACCATCACAGTGCAAATATTACGAAGTTGGTTAAGGGTGAAGTTATATCTGAGTAACAAAACGATGTTGATACATAATAAACCCAAACCAAAGTAGACAAACATGTCTTGATTCAGAGTTAGTAAACTGAAAACAAAAGCTCATAAAACACTCGCCACATGAGTAAATTTTGTCTACCGAAGAAAGCAGAAATGTATAAGGAGCAAAATGCTTAGAATTTCGAACAAAGGACATATAAGTTACATGGAGAGAATACACACATACATACACTCAAAACAAGTAAGTTGTATCCAGTTCAACTGTTAGCCATTATTCTTGAAATTAGTAATCCAGAGTTTAACAAACGACACTGAAAGCGTACCTCAATTGTGATACAGCAAAGTTTACATTGCACCTTGAAATTAAATAATCCTATATGATGAAACATCTGAATAATCAATTAAACAGATCTGAGAATACTTGGACCTGGTAAGATCAGAGTTCTAGAATTTAGCTCCCAAATACAGTGGAATATTAGTCCGTAAGTATTTCACTTAACTGGAACCATTAATAGAACTAGATATTAGAACAACGTGATATACATTAGCGAAAAGATAAATTTCATAGGAAAATGTGTCTAAATATAGGCGTAATGAAGCACTGAATGCCATCATAAATTCTTCACTGTCACTAAAAATAGTTTTTGCAGAGAATACTAGTTGTTCATTCACTACTTGGTTTATTACAATTATGTGGACATCAAGAGAATTTTCCACAGTTACGGCTGGGGATAATTCTTTTGTATGAAGATCTATGCTGAACAAGTTACTATACTTAACTAGAACTTTATCCGTAAACACTATGACAACGTAAAAGAAACCTATTTGCACCAAACCATTAAAACTAACCTGTTCCAAAATACTTTGAAAACCCCTCTAATAGCGGATAATGAATTTCCCACGCTTCCCATACAACATTGAAGATAATTAACAAACTTTGAGTTTACATGAGTAAATACATCTATTACTGCTTCTGGAATGCTTCATTCTTCGAAAACCGATAAATAATTTACAAGCCATGAATATCTTTCCCAGATGTTTATTTCTGCAGATAAATTAGCAAAAATATGGTGAAGCGATACTAATAGTGACAGATTCAGATGTGTTCGTCGAGGATACAAGGCTTGAAGTCTATGTTAATCCTTTTCTAGTAAATTCCCGTGCTTCTCCAAACACTTCTTGAATGAATCAGTTGAGGTCGCTAACACCACTTCTTCTGGGAGTCGGTTCCAGGAGTTTATTACTTCGTGTGGGAAACAATACTCCACAGTAATATAGTTTCTCCTTGGCTTTTGAACTCCCCTGCTACGTCTCTAAGCTGTTCCGGGTAGGTGGGAAGGAAAAAAGAGAATGGATTAGGTCCGTAGTCATTATTTAAAATTTTAAACGTAATTAAGTCTCCTCTCTGATTACGGTATGATAGGGAGAAGAAATTTAAACTGTCTAGTCTTTCCTCATATGATAAGTTAGTCATGCCGAGAATCACATGTGTTGCCTTCCTAAGAACCCTTTCGAGAATATTTAAGTCTCCTTTAAGACAAGGACTGGCTGCCTGGATACAGTTTTCTAGTCTTGACCTCACCAGATTCTATTAAAGGTTCTGTAAATTGCCCATAAGGATCTGAAACTACATGCAGCCACCACACGACAGTGTGCTGTAGTTTTTAAGTCATAGCTAACGATGACACCTAAATCCAAATGAGTCTGAACTGATGGGAGTGTTATTCCCTCTAGTTCGTAGGAGCTGATGCTTGCTTGTCCGATGGGCATGGTTGCACATTTTGTTACATTGGTCGGGGGCATCCATTCTCTGGACCACTCTGGCAATTTTTTGAGGTCCTCTTGCAACTTGAGCGTATCACTGTTGACAAACTGTTGTCAAACTATTTCTAATCTACACGCATATCATCGTTTGCCTTAGTGGTTTACACCTAAGGCCCATTGATGTGGATTCAACTACAAGTAGATAAGCAGAATGTTGAGTTTCTAGTTCTATAACTTGAATGAGATATGTTCAACATGTGCATAAGATATGCCGCATTTATTTTCCATTTGTTTCATTCGCTCATGCCGCACGTCATCTAAGTGACTCTTTGTCATAGTTTTAATGTTCTGCGATGTTGGATTTCACCTAACCGCAATATGGAAGACTACTTCTCATAAATTTAAATAACCATGACGCGCGTTAGTGTACCACTATTTATTTTCTCTTTGATAATAGTCCTGTGTTGGAAGAGAGACGATACTTGCTATATGTCATTATGTATGCCCTTACAATGACCCTAACTGAACGCTTCTATAACTAACTCATGTACTCGTTTTGTACCCTAACAGAAACTAATTTTACGTATGCCTACCGAATTTTTGCCCTTGTGTGATTGAAAATTGGTTGTCGATCGTTATGTACTTACTTTGCACGATTACGCACGCTTACATTTGTTTCGCGTACTTCAAAGTTCAATTTCACTTACATTTTTGAAATCTTCATTTGTGCTTTTCTGAACAACGTTGCTCGTATTTGGCTATAGACAGCTTTTAGAACCCTGTAGAACGTGAAGACGAGGATCCATCTTCGTATATTAATCAGATTTACATATAGTAGGTCACAAGATGTGGACCAAACATTTCACTTCATCAAGAGAAAACTTCGTGGAATTGAATTTCCTTCAGTTTGTTGCTAACTAGTCACAAGAAAGCTTCGATGAGTTAAACTTATACTTTAATGACCTTGTTCAATAATGATGTAAAGAGCTGTAGTTTCTTATCATTCCCCTTCTTCATGGAGGAATTTATGCTTCGCGATCTTCTCTGCCTTCGTATGTGGGTAATATTCAAGTATCCAGACATACACGGTCGTGTTCTGAAGTATTGTAGTGAATAACTTCTGTTTTCATAGTTCGCGTCAAGTCATTTAGGCGGTATCAAGCAGCCAAATAGGTCTCCTGATCACTGGCTGACTCTGAGACCATTTGAAATACCATGCGATTAAAAATCATCTATTGCCACGCAAAAAGATTACGGCTTTTGAAAATATGGACAGGTGGATCCATACCTTAGTCTCTGATATACATTCAAGTTGCAGATTATCTGGGGACGTAATCTATCATCCTAAATTATCTGGAATCATTTCTCACGTATATCTGCTATGGTGTTGATAACTTCATGTACTCAGTATTCTCTTGTAATTATACAGAAAAATCAGATTAGTAGTTTCGTAGAAGCTTTTGACGAGAATAGACATATAGAAATGTTTCGCTTAGTATATCAATGCAAAAGCAGGAGAAATACTCTTCATACTGCTTTTTCATAAAGTTGTCACCAATCGAATTAATACCACACTCTCGAAGAAGTAGACATTAAGCTTTCTTGAGAAGTGGAACAAAGTCAAGTTCCTGCTGACACTGAGCTTAATGCAAGGAGCTAATTAGAGATGCTCCGGGTATAAATGCTGCCCAGAACAAGCTGGATACATTTATAGCAAATCATATACGAACGGAATTGCTGCGCTTGGCATCATTACCAAGCACAGTTCTGAAGGTTAGTCAGCTCTCTGACTCAGCTTCACTGTATAGGAGAGGCCTCTGATAGAGCTGACTGCGAACTGATTTGGGAACTGCTCTAACACAACACATTGCAGTATCGCAGACATTCACAAAATTCAGCAGCTATGTGATTATCTCAAAAAGTTCAATAAAACCACTGAAATGAGGACAGAAATACGACATGGCTTTTTACTATCATCAATGAGACTCCTAGCTGTGATGGACTGGATCATATGGCAGAAAGTTAGGGGTAGAGAGAGCAGGAATACTATGGGCTGTCACGAAGAATTTAGATTACTCGGACTTCTTGGGCAATTTTTCCCTCATGTCACAAAAACCCGGGGATCTGGAACTTCTACAGAAGTGAGTCCCGAATTGTACTGTACAAGGTTTGTGTGTGCCCACTTCTAGGTTACTGTTCATTCATATTTAGTAGTATACGCATAAAAGTCAGAACCAAAAAATGCACGAACTATTTCACTTAATGTGGAAACCTAGGGCTTGAAGCACTGCGGCCAAGTCGAGTGTGGCTAAATTTGTTACATTTCTATAAGCTTCTGATACCACTCGAACTTCAGATGACAATGGTCATGATCTGAGAAATTTTAAAGTTAAAGTGGCCATCGAAGAATGCATAACAGCCACCAGACAGAAGTTTTACTTGATAAGATATGCTCAGGTACAGAAAAACCTACCAATGGAAATGAGGCAAGCCAGCACATTGGATACCTTTGAAAAGGTACCTAATGACACATTAAAAGACCTTGAAAGCGATAGTAGTGCCAGTTCTCATGTGAGAGCTTCAAAAATCATACGCGTATTTAATTTATGAGCTGAAAGACGATGACTGTCGCTAGTTTCACCTATGTTCATTATTTCAGATAAAAAACGCAGCATTGGAAACAAATAATTTATTTTTGACCAGCCTTCTCATTGCCAGGGAAAATTAGGCCAATTTCAGAGATAACAAAAAACTTGTCGAAAAAGTCTTTTTAGGTTTTAGTAAAGTATTCCACATATGCTAATACCGCATTGCTGTCCAGACTGAAGGGCTTTGAAATCATAAGTAGACTTTTCACAGGGTTCAAAGGGTTCACTGTAGGTAAAAGTCAGAACGTAAGGATAGATATCAAACTCATTTTTGGAGGATGGTACGAATCTGTGTTCCAAAGTCCAATACTGACATAACTTTTATTTATTTTCTTCTTCAGTGAAATATCCAGGTTGATCTAGTCTCCTAACTGATTTGTAAGCCGATGACAGCATAACGTGAAGACAACTGAAAGAGGACAGTAAAACTTTCAGGAAGCAAATGTGTGTCGACACCCTGACAAGCGGCCCCGAAATTGGGTACTTTTCACTGATGCAGCTAAGTGCACAATTATCCGCGCGGAATGGGGGATTTCTCCTGTAACTAATTCCAACAGACACTCACCTACGTGTCCGAGTAAGTCACGATCTAAAATCTGCGACACTTCCGTTGAAATGAAACTTTTCGATTCAGAATCCTTTGGCCGATATACAAATTCTTTCCTCGGATTCCAGTAGGTATTTTCATAAACTTGGCCTTGTTAAGGTCAAATCTGGAGAATTATTATAAAATAGTCAAATGATGCAATATATGTGCCTCTCACATGTTGGGAAGATTTCTAAAGGTGACCGCATTTATGATCTGTAGTCTGTAAGATTAGTCATAGGGGGAACTGCTAAAATGTGAGAATCTACTTTCCAAATTACATCAAAGACAGGGAAATCGAAGCAGAGTAATCCTATTGGAAATGAACCGTTTCATCTAGATATATGCGAAGGTTTCGGAGGATATACAATGAGAACTCCTAAGTTAAGATGAAGTATTTCACCAGCCACACAAGTACTCTAGACGAGTCATTTTCTACGCTAACCGGTCTACAGAATGAATGTTGTCTCCATCCAAGGGCGAAGATAAACACTAAACTGAAAACGTCATGGAAGCTGAAATTCTCCTAACTCCAATCAGATTTTTTAAAGCAGCCAATTCAGTGAGCTGGTACGTAAACCCAGCATACCAAGAAGAAGCCGCATGGAACCGGTTTAAACAACTCTACGCCCAAAGAGTTGGAAAAATTGCTCCCCTTGGATAAAACAAGAGATTCGTAAATTGCTTAGAAGTAAACGCAAACACTGGAACCTGTTTACCACATTTGAGACTCCTGAGACCAGAAAGTAATACAACACCGCTAGGAACGAAGCTATTGCAGAAATCCGCGAAGCAAGGATGAAAGCTCGAAGCATATCTGGCCCAAAATGCAGAGGTGAAACCTAAGAAAATTTTCTCGTACATGAACTCCAGGAATAGGACATCTAA